GCGGCCCCCGGGTCCGCGCGGCGCTGCGGGCTCGTTGTGCCGCGGTTACTTTCACTTTCCCGGCAGGATATGGGTATCTCGGTGGCCGAGCCGGAGCGCACGCTGAGGCTTGCAGCCGAGCTCCTGGCCTGCCGAAGGTCACCGGCTGTTTGCTCATTGCCCTGGCCTCCAGCTTCTCTCCTTGTAGGAATCCTCTGTGTCAGGGAAATTTGCTTCGCCGCAGGCTTGGGCGTGAGGTTCAGTGTTAGTGAACTGCTCTCGTTTGTTAGTGTGCAGGGATGGTGGCATTGTGTGACAAGGCTTCCTCTCTTTGGAGTGGCATCGATGTGCCCTCTGTGGATCCTCTTAGCATGCTGAAGAGCAGTGCCATAAAATAACTCCAGCTTCAGTACAGTAATTTCTGCTGGTGGACTTATCTAGTGATGGCAGGAAGATCACACTTGGAGTTAGTGTAGATGACTGTGTACTTCTGTTTTTGTCTTCTGTCATGTGCTAGTTTTTCTGTTTCAGCAAGCGTGGAATTAGATAGGATCTCTTAAGTCATTAGATGTATAGATATTTTACAAATTTGAGGCATGAGGACAAACAGGATTTCCAAGTGATTTGGGTACAGTGATTCATGTAGTTATCAGTTAAATTGCTTTGGAAACAAAGTTCGCAACTTTGAAGCCTCTGTCACTGAGATCCGCATCTTTTAATTGCCTAAGTATCTGGAGTCCTTAGGCTTCTAGGTATTTAGTGCTGTGCCTGAGGAAAGCCCCTGCCGTTTACAGAGAGCTAAGCAGTGACATACAAGCTTCACTGTGAGTGAAGAGACAGAAAATAAAGGGGTTTTCCTCTGCAATGGGAATCTGTCCCAGTGAAGCTTTTCCATTTTGCATAAAAATTGTATTAGGGAGAAAACCTGTTGCTCCTGGCAACAGTATATAGGAAACAATATATATATATATACAAATATGTGTATATTCTGACTGCTGAGCAGGAGTCATGGTCTTGTCCTTATCTTCCACTTTTGACTTGTGTAAGAATTAGATGTGTAAAAACACTTGGCATTGGTCTTATATTGGGCTTTTCCTTTTAATTAGCTGCTTGCATTATAGCCTGTGTTCTGCTTTTGTTCTCTGTGTTCATTACTTCTGACTGTTCTTGGTGCAAGCTTTGATAAGTACATGGTCTTTACATGTTCATGGTGGCAAATGAATGTAATTGGTTATTTTAAGGTTCCAGCATTCTTTTTAGGCCTTGTGGTTAAAAACTTTCTGCATCATACACATGCAGAGCCTTCCTTTACAGTACTGAAAACAATTTGTGAAATTGTAAATTCGTCTGTAAGGACATCCCACCAGACCAGCAACAAAGTACACTGAAAGTAAATTCATGTCTCACAAAAGCAGGGTGTAACTGGAGTATAAAATGTCTGGTTTGTGTTTTACAGCAGATGCTAAAGGAGACCAGAACTTTTGCACAAACAATGTTCGAGTCATACATGTACATGTATTATTTTATTACTTTGTCTTTGCTGCCATCAGGCTTTATCATGCTCCGAGCCTTTCATGTCACAAATGGTAGGTGTGTGTTCCACCATGCTAAGTGTTGGCATCATCGTAAGTCTGTGCTGGCAATCAGGAGGGAAGATGTTAATGCGTGGGAAAGAAGAGCACCTCTAGCACCAAAGCATGTGAAAGAGTTGACGCAGATGGGATACAAGGTCTTGGTTCAGCCATCAAACCGTAGAGCCATCCATGAAAAGGTAAGGTTCCATTTTGAGTGAGCTAAGCAAAACCATAGTTCAGTTATTAAACATAGTACAAAAAAAAGAATATTCAAAAGCTATTAATGAGAAAATGTATTGTCGTAGTTTAACCCCAGCCAATCACCAAACATCATGTAGCTGCTTGCTCACTCTCCCACCAGCAGGATGGGGGAGAGAATCAGAAAGGTAAAAGCTAGAGAAACTCGTGGGTTGAGATAAAGACAGTTTAACAGAGAAAGGAAAAGCTGCACACACAAGCAAGGCAAAACAAGGAATTCATTCACCATTTCCCATAGACAGGAGGTGTTCAGCCATCTCCAGGAGAGCAGGACCCCATCATGCTTAAGGGTTACTTGGGAAGACAAACACCATCACTCCATAAGTGGCTTCCTTCTTCCTTCTTCCTCCCACTTTATATACTGAGCATGATATCTTATGGTATGGAATATCCTTTTGGTCAGTTTGGGTCCCCTGTCCTAGCTGTGTCTCCTCCCAATCTCCCATGCACCCCCAGCTTCCTTGCCAGCGTGGCAGTATGGAAAGCAGTAAAGGCCTTGGCTCTGTGTAAGCTTTGCTCAGCAAAACCAAAAACATCTCTGCATTATCAACCCTGTGTTCAGCACAAATCCAAGACATACCCCCATGCTAGCCACTGTGAAGAAAGTTAACTCCATTCAGCCCAAACCAGCACACATATTAAAAAATAAACCCAAAACATATAAATTTTGTTGCTAAATGAGGAGTCATTGTGTGCTAGTGGAAAGATAAAGGAGTAGTTTGTGTAGACTTTTAATGTAATGTTGTCACAGTGGTGAGCTTTTGTAGTTATTTTTATTTGTTTCTTGACCTGTCATCAGTCTCCAAAGAAGTTCTAGGTGCTCTTAAGGTAGAACTTTGGGAATTGATTTAACATTGGTGGGTTTGTCTTCTGTTTGTATGAAGGCAACAACTCCAAAAAACCTCATATTTTTTTCAAAGAACTGGAAGGGTGAATTCTGTGAATCGTGTTCTTGCTTCAATCCCATTCCTCATGTGAAATGAGTAGAGAGGGTTTTTTTTTTCTTTAGTGATATGAGCTTCAGGACAGAGAAATTTTACAGTTCTTGTAACAGCAGTATTACTCTGTTGTAAGATATCTGAGAAAACAGATAAAAATTGAAACATAAATAGGGAATTAGTGGTCACCTGTAATATCACCTTTTAATTAAGGCACACTGCTTTTCACCGAAGCACAGATCATACCATGTACACAAGTATGATATTCATAGAATCATGGAATCAACCAGGTTGGAAAAGACCTCCAAGATCATCAAGTTCAACCCTACTGTGGTTACTAGACCATGGCACTAAGTGCCACATCTAGTGAAAACCTCCGGGGACAGTGAATCCACCACCTCCCTGGGCAGCCCATTCCAATGCCTGATCACTCTCTCTGTAAAAAATCTCTTCCTAATATTTAACCTAAACCTCCCCTGGCAGAGCTTGAGTCTGTGCCCTCTTGTCCTACTGCTAGATGCCTGGGAGAAGAGACCAACCCCCACTTGACTACAACCTCCTTTCAGGGAGTTGCAGAAGGGGATAAGGTCACCCCTGAGCCTCCTCTTCTCCAGGCTAAACAATCCCAGCTCCCTCAGCCTCTCCTCATAGCACCTGTGCTCGAGTCCCTTCACCAGCCTTGTTGCTCTACTCTGGACCTGCTCCAGCACCTCAATATCCTTCCTGAACTGAGGGGCCCAGAACTGAGCACAGTACTCAAGGTGTGGCCTCACCAGCGCCAAGTCCAGGGGCAGAATCACCTCCCTGGTCCTGTTGACCACACTGTTCCTGGAATTTTAATACATTTTTGGAATAAGGGAGGACAAAAAAATATTTTGATGTGTAAAAGCATTCCTTTAGAATTTGCTCATCAGTTTGGACTTAGTCTTATACAATTTTATAAAATCACATGTCATTAGTCTTCAGATTAATTTGTCATATTTCTCTAAACTTATTTCCAAGTATTTCAACACACTACAAGGGACTGTTCATTATTGCAGTACTATATGATACTTTAAATTTAGTAAAATATCCTTTTGTAGTCTGTACGTGTAAGATGAAGACTTTTACTAACACATAATTATGTTTTGGCCTTGTATAATAGGGTATTAGCATGGTAGTTCAATTCGATACTTGATACCTCTTTATCAAAGAGGTTTATGAATATATTACATGCAGTAACTTGTTTCTGCTTTGCAGAATTATCTGTTTTTCCTCTGTTCTAGTTGCTTATGTGCTGAGATCTGAATATGGGAAAACCCACAAAAATTAACTTTGATTTTTCTCTTTCATAGGATTACATCAAAGCAGGTGCCATTATTCAAGAAGATATTTCTGAGGCTTCTTTGATAATAGGTGTGAAGAGACCTCCAGAAGACAAACTAATCCCCAAAAAGAACTATGCCTTCTTCTCTCACACTATTAAAGCCCAAGAGGCAAACATGCCCCTTTTGGATGAGATTTTAAAACAGGTAAATTGTGTCATAGTGAAGGCAATTGGTGGTTAGTGTGGGATGGAAACTGAACATAATGCGTGTGACCAAAAGCGTACTGCCTAGTATGGCTACTTTCAGCATAAACTTTTGTAAATTGCTAACAAGAACTGTTTTCAGTATCCTTTCCTGGAGCTGAGTATTTCTTGCTCAGAGGATCTTGTGCTTGCAGTATTACTCTGTTCACATGCATAAGGCAGATGACTTGTGAGCATGCTGTGCTCAAGAAAGGCTCATTCTGTCTGAGCACAAAGGTTTGTTGGAAAGTTATTAAGCTGGAGTATGCTTTGGTTGTTACAGACTGTGACATCCAGTTCACTCAGAAATGAGCAGCTTCTTGGCAGAGCATGTGAATGGGCCTGCAGCAGCTGGAGTGGCATGTTGGGCAGTTCTGTGCCCAGAGGGCACAGGCAGTGCAGAGACTCTCTTAAACAAGAATTCAATGCAACCATTATGTTTTTATTTTTATACTTGCATCTTGGTAGGATTTATTTTACTTTTTTTAATTACTTATTGGCCTCTATCATGCAGGATGGCAAAGGCATGTGAAAAGGTAGTTCCTGGGAGAGCAATGTGCCACTGACTGCATTCGCTGAAAATTTTAATACTCAGTTTACTATGTATTTTCAGGAAATTCGACTGTTTGACTATGAAAAAATGGTTGATCATAAAGGAATGCGAGTTGTGGCCTTTGGAAAGTGGGCTGGTGTAGCAGGTATAGTGCATAAAGTAAAGGCAGGCTTGCAACAAGTGACTTGTAATACTTCTGGTTGTCTGTATTTCCTGGAAGTTGAGGCTTGTGATGTGTTTTTAACAGCATCTTTAACTCTTGCTTTTAACAGCTTTTTTCTATTCTGGCTTGTGCCTCCTGCAATCCTGTGGATTCCTGACAAATGCAGTATTTTATGTTGTCTCGAAGTCCTGTTTGTGCACTTAACTAATCTGGAGCAGACTAAATATCAAGAGATCAACTGATCAGGCTTTTGGAAAAAAAATGCTATCAGTCCTGAGTGCTTGAACAGTATCTGTCACTGTTATCCATTTACACTGATTTTTGTGAGGCGTGGTTCTCATTCCTTTCTAGTGAACTTCAGCTCTGTTTCTTCAGGAGACTCTATTATCTCCTTCTTTGGAATGTGGTGATGTGGATGCATCTTATAAAAGGATATCTGAGTAATAAATAATGCTTAAATGCATAATGTGGGCCCAGAGCAGCTTTAAGATCATGGACCACTATTGAATTTCTCCTTCTCTCATTTTTAAACAACAGGGATGATCAATATTCTACATGGATTGGGATTACGATTTTTAGCCCTGGGACATCACACTCCCTTCATGGTAGGTCTATATGTGTATGTATTTTCTTTAACAAAATGATATTTGGGCATCTGCCAATTGTCTGTATTTGAATATGGAAAATATCTTGATGGTTCTGTGCCTTTGATTTCAGCACATTGGGATGGCACATAACTACAGGAATAGCAGTCAGGCTGTGCAGGCAGTACGGGATGCCGGGTATGAAATTTCACTGGGATTGATGCCAAAGTCAATGGGGCCCTTAACATTTGTGTTTACAGGCACTGGTAATGTTTCTAAGGTAAGAATTGTCTTCAAGATGAAATGCTGCATTATTGTTATTAGAAATTGTTGGCATTTGATATGTATCAAGTTAAAGAGGTTGATGGGATCATTTTGTTTTCTTGGACTTCCCATTTTCCATTGCCAGTCAGATTTTTTAAGTACCATAAACTAAAACTTTTGAGATCATGCCTGAGAAGGCATGAAAAATGGATTAAATCTTATTGCTCCTTTCCCCACTGCATGATTTCTATTTCCCTCTCTGCCTACTGTTGACTCTGAGCTCACAAGGTATATTGAATCACCCCATTAAAGTATGGGGGAAAGAATTCTTTTTTCCAATACTTGAGGAGTTTTTATATCTGTGTGACACTGACTTGGCTTACAAGTGCTGGAATTTAGAGCTATTTTTGTAACATAAGGAAAAGGCATACTCCTAGTTTTGGCAACAAAGGTCAGTTAACAAGGCTCCAGGTATAAACTGAAATCGCTGCCTGTGAAAACGTGTTTGTTCTGGACAAAAAGATAGCGTGTCTGAATGGCTTGTGTTTGTGATCACATCTTGTTGGGGAAGTCATCTTGAAATTCTTTGCCTTTAGAGCAGCCTGGTTGATGAGGTATGGCTTCAGATGTCTCTCCTAAAGAGAAACTGTACCTCAGAGTGGCAGCAAACCATCCTCATGTTGAGTCCTCCCATCTCAGCCACTGGAAACATGAACCAGACGTTGGACTGTGGGTTAGGCATTCTGCAGTAGTGGGGAGTGATGGCAAGTCCTTGCACATAGAACCCAGGCAGTTTGGTTTTGGGTCAGTGGGGGTATGTATGAAATGGCGTGTGCATTTCTGAAGATGTTCTCTGGCAGGACTGTCAAATTGTGCATGACATTTTTGTATTTGTTGAGCAGTGTTACATTATTACCTTTATGCTCTGCTCATTCTGAATCCTACTTCATGGTTTCAGGGTGCTCAAGAAATGTTCAATGCCCTCCCATGTGAGTTTGTGGAACCACATGAGTTAAAGGAAGTTTCCAGATCTGGAGGTATGCTGTGGCAATAAAATGACTGAAAACACTGGAACCCTTTTTGTCCAAGTATAACCATATTTTAATTTTTTTTTTAAACTTTAGACCTCAGAAAAGTCTATGGGACAGTGTTAAGTCGTCACCATCATCTTGTAAGGAAACGTGATGGACAGTATGATCCAGTAGACTATGATAAACATCCAGAAAATTACACTTCTCGCTTTCACATTGATGTGAGCATCTTTTCTGGTTTTTTGTGAAAGGTTTTCCAGAGTGTTGGTAGTTACTGCACCTCTGCATATTCATCATTTGAGAGAGCATTCACTTAAAATGCTAGACCAGGTGCTTTCAGCTTCTTACAGTGCTAGATGAGAACATCAGGCATCTGTAACTTTCTTTGCAGATTGCACCCTACACAACCTGTTTAATTAATGGCATATACTGGGAACAACATACTCCTCGCTTGCTGAGTCGGCAGGATGCTCAGAACCTGCTGGTGCCAGTTAAATCTGCTGGTGGTGCAACGGAGGGCTGTCCTGAGTTACCACACAAGTAAGACACCTCGTTTCACTTGTAACAATTCTGCAGCACCATGATTAAGTTGTATTGTTAAGCAGTTCCACCACAGTATCTACCAAATGATTCTGTTTCTTCCATTATTCCTCTTTCATGTTTTATGGTGCCCCATTGATTCTGCCTTTGTTCTTCTGTGCTTTGCAGTCTTGTTTTCACAGTTTGGAGTTTTTGAAAACATCACAGTACAAATGCTGACAGGTATTGGCTGTCGTCTTTCTGCAGGGATAGTTCTGCCATTGATTCTTGTGCAGAATCCAATACAGACAGTGTGACATCTGGGAAATGCACCTACTTCACCAGTATTGTTAGATGATTTTATGCCTAACCAGAGTTTTTTTGGTTAAGTTTTTCCTACCCTGTTGTTTGGCTTATACAAATTCAGTAACTGTTCCATAACACCTCTTAGTTCTGCAGCAGATAGTGAAAATGCTTCACAACCCTGAGTAGCTTTAAGGATGGAATGTAGGGTCCAAATCAAGCGTTAGTCTCATTTCAGTGTATGAGCCACCCTTTCTCTTCCCTGTGTAACAGTTCTCTTGGAGACTGGCTCAGGAATGGATTTGGGGAGGATGTGACAATATATCCTGGTGAGGAATCGGTCTTTGTGTTTTCTCCATCCACTCTTGACACCTTTCTTTCTCTCACATGACAAATAGAGAATTTAAGTGTTAACCATGAGTGAAGCCAGAGGTTGTGCATTAGGCTAATGAATGCTCCACCTGCACCTGGTATCTGTGAATTGGAAGGAGGCAGCCACTTCTTTAGGCTTCCCTTTATGGTGGTGAGGTTATTTTAGTGCAGGACTTCCCAGTGACAGCTCAAGGGAACTGGTAGATGGGTAATGAATGAGAGGTGTAGAGAGAAAAGATGATGGGTGAGTGGATTCTCCCTGTCTTTGAGAAGTTACATATGAGATATGGATGCTGTTTATGTGAATGCAAATCTGATGACTACAGTAGGGACAAATTTCCATTACATTTTCCAATATCATTTTTTGTGTTCTGCTGACTTCTAGACTGGTTAAGATGAATAAAGCTACGAGTCGGATAGATCTCACATTTCTTATATTTCCTGTTCATTTGTGATCTTTTATGCCTATGTTTCCTAGTAATTTGTATAATGCTCTATTCCATTGTCTTTTTTGTTTAATCGCTTTAGACTTCTGGCAATATGTGACATTTCAGCAGACACTGGAGGATCTATAGAATTTATGACGGAGTGTACGACAATTGACAGTCCATTTTGTATGTATGATGCTGACCAGCATATTATTCATGACAGGTGGGAGAGCCCTTAATTTTTATTGCTTTCCATTGTAATTTGTACATGTGAAACATTATATTGAAAAGTGATTCATTTAAAACACTTCTGACATGAAGTACCTTTTGGGTACCAAGCAGTATGAGCATGAGGTTCAATAAGACGAAGTGCCAGGTCCTGCACTTGGGTCTCAGCAACCCCATGCAGTGCTACAGGCTGGGGGAGTCTCTTCTGCCATGCTTGCAATGAGAGAACCAGAACAAATGGCCTTAAACTGAGACAGAGGAGATTCAGATTAGATACCAGAGAATTTTTTTTTTTACTATTAGTGTCATCAGGTGTTGGAATAGGTTGCCCAGGGAGGTAGTGAAGTCACTGTCCCTGGAGGTGTTTAAGAATTGTTTGGATCTGGCCCTGAGTGGAATGGTTTGGTGGTTTAGGGGTTAGAGTGGTAGTGGTAGGTTGATGGTTGGACTTGATGATCTTAAAAGGTCTCTTACAACCTCGATGATTCTGTAAGTAGTTTAGAAGAGGTGTGTTATCTCTTTCAGTGTTGAAGGCTCGGGGATTCTGATGTGTTCCATCGACAATCTGCCAGCTCAGCTTCCGATAGAAGCAACAGAGTACTTTGGCGATATGCTTTTCCCATATATTGAAGAGATGGTAAGGTCTTATGTGTCCAACAAGAAGGTAAAAGGCTCAGACTTTGGTCTGCTTGTTTGTTGCTTTTCTGGTCTCCTGTAAACATTCAAAAGAATCTGCTGTAGAACATAACTGACTTTGTACTTCAAAAAACGAAAAAAAATTTGAATCTTGAGGCAATACTTTCAAAAGGCGACATGTGAATGACACATTAGTGACCTGGTTGTCTTAGGGGCTTCTCAAGAACACTTTCTGTAGGCAGGAAACAGGCTCTGGCAGGTAGTTCGTTCCTTCTGGACCCTACAGTAGATGTCTTAATCTGGTTTTCTTGGGCACTCAACAGTTGCTCACAATCAGACTGTTACTTGAATTCCTCCATTTTCATAAAAGTCAAGTGACACTGATAGGGGCCAGAAGAATTTCAAACCTACAAGATATTGATGCTGTTACATGCATTTAAATGTTGCTTGAAATCTTGATGTTTTACTTCAAAGAAACCAATAGGTAATAAAGTGACCTGATTTGAAATAACTTATCTCCATAGCTGTTATCAGAAGGCTCGGAACCTCTTGAAAAACAGAATTATTCACCCGTTGTTCGAGATGTAAGTTTTGGAATTTGGTACTCTTGTCTTCTTCTGCTGTGAAATACACAGATACGTGAAACCCTCAAAATTTGTTTCATGTATTTTCAGGCAGTGATTGCATCCAATGGCTCACTGACACCTAAGTATCAATATATCCAGAAATTGAGAGAGAGCAGGTAATGTATAGCTTCTTAAAGTTCATTTGGTTCAGGATTTAAAAAGCCTCCTTGTCTGCATTCTGTCTCCCCTTTTGCATTTATTTCCTCTTGTGTTTTGGTGGAATGCAGCTATATTGTACTGTGTCTAAATGTCTCCTAGCTTGATGATTTCCTTATGCCTTCATGCACATGGCCTAAATCATTAACATGTGTTGTGAATAACTTATTTCAAAGTTGAGAAAGTGGCCATTTTTCTCTTTCTTGCATTATGAAACGGTTTTACCAGTGGCAGAAAACAGCCACATGCCATATTACTCTGTTAGTCCTTGCCCTTTTGAACTGGATGTAACACTCCTTTGAAAGGAATAGCTGAATGCAAAAGGCTCTCAAATATACCTTGAATCTAGTTACTGCTTGTATGGCTCAAGTGCTGAGCTGTGTAGCATTGTTCTGTGACTGGATGTATTCAGGAGACTCTGTGAGACTCTCAGACTTGTCATTATATTCCCATAGCTACCACTTTGTCCAAACCCTGTCTCAGTAGTTATCTGCCAGTGGTAGCATTGAGTGGACTAAACCAACAAAAATATAAATAACCTGAATATCCCTTCCCTTCCCTTCCCCTTGCTCTCTACTATGAACAAACACCTGTAGTTTGCCTATGAAAAACGTTAACTTTACAATAAGTGGATACCTGTGGCTTCATGTTCATGGTCAATGACAACTGCATTGTGCATCCTGTTAAAGTTTAAATTATCTAACCATAATCACTGCATGCACTGTGCACTGAAAATAGTGTGTTGACTTCTGCATGCCAAATCTCTCCAGTTTCTTTAGGGAACTTTGGGACTTATGGTTAGGAACTTACGTATGATGAGCTTTAGGTGCATTTTCCACACTAAGTAATGTACTCTTTGCCTCTCAAAGACTTCAGCTCACAGTGATTTTTGTTGTGTGCAGACCCCCAGAAGAGTCAAATTTCTTATTCTTCACACAGATCTGAGTTTTTTTGCTTTCTCCATAATCGATTGCATGGTCTTGTGTGATCTACCCTGAGAGTCTGGAGACTTCATTCCCAAGGGGGTGTTTGTGGGTAGCTTTTTGATATTTCTGCAGATGTGTGTGTTGCATGTGGTGTTCAGTGGTGTTTTCACTTAGCTGTCACAAAAGCAGGACCTGCTAACAATACTCTCCTTTACTTTGCAAACTTTGGAGATGATGCAAATGAAAGCAGGGGTTTACTGCCTAAGGAGTGGTGGTTTAGCTAGAGACAGGCTTGTGTTCAGAGCCTGTAGGAATTGTGGCTGGTGTTATTACTCTAACAAAGTATTATGCTGTGTCTAGTTTCCGAGGGCTCTATTTAGACTAATTGCTAATACACTTTCAAATCCATGAACATTTCAGACAGAGGACATTCAGACTGTGTGAGCTGAACCGTCTTGGGTGCCATTAGAATGCAGGAGCAGTTTGATTTACCAACCTTATCTCCATCTTTGCACCTTTATTTGCTTCTTAACTGCTGCTGATTCCTCATCCAGAGCTGCAATGGCATATCGCATAGACCTCTAGCATTACTGTTATTTGTTCACAGATTAACATAACTGAATTATTTAAACTCATATAGAGAGACTAGGCATGATCTGAAATGTTCTTTTCTGGAACTGTGTAGATTCTGTTTCCATACTTGGGGGCTCATTTGGCAGCTCATGTTTTTGCCTGTCCTAGAGCAGACATGCTGTGTTTGACCTAAGTGTGACCTCATTCTAGACACTGGAAAAGTTTTAAGCAAATATAAGTTTGCTTGCAAAATCCAACTTGCTTTCATGCAGGAAGTCTCCCCTTTGTCGACACTCCAAGCTGCATAGCACTGCTGCTCCCTATAAGTAAAGGGTGGAGAGGAATTTTTCTCTTTGCATGAGGGTGTAGCTGTGGAAGATGTTTTATTAGAATTGATAGGAGGAGGAGGAAAGTCCTTGGGTTTGCCATGTGAAAGAATATGATGAGCTTAGGAACCTTTCTGTGAATGTATTAAAACATCATTTAACTTTAAAAAAAAATCAAATCTGTAGAAATTTTATGAAGGTCAAAATTTACAGTAATTATTTTAATAATAAACAGCACACAATTACAGTAAAAGTTTAGATAGATTAGAGAGTTGAGACGTTGGTACATACCTTTCAGATTTAATGAACTGGAAAGAATGGCTTTAGAAAAATTTAGTCTGAAATAGGAGGAAGAGAGGTTAGAACATCTGGAACTCTGGAGAGTTACTCAAGCTTTACAAATAAAGGGGAAATCGAGGAACTCGCTTATACACTTAGGAAGTTTCCTGTAAGTCTGTGTCTTTGAAAGTCCTACCTGTTTATTGAAATTTATTCTCAGGGTGTGGGATAAGAAAAGCCAAACCTCAATCTCCATTGATTAGGTTAAACAGTAGGGCAGTGACCAGCTTCCCTTTCTTCAACAATAAAAAGTGCTTTAAGAAAATGTTTTATTTGCTAAATACTTTTAATCTATGCAGTGATGACTTGTCAGACAAAGTTTTAATATCCTAATTTTACAACTTAATGCAAATTTGAGCTAAAAGGAAAAATAATTAAAAATGACCAAAATGTGTTTTTCTGTTATAATTTATACATTTCTGGGAGCATATTTAAACAACTACTGAATTACATTATTCTGGTTGGCAAAAAGAAATGCAAAATCTGATGTGAATACATTTTATGTTGAAAGTCAGCAGGACATCTACTTAAATTTATTTATGAGAGTAGTAGAAGTTTGGTTGAAACACTGTGATGGTTTTCAAATCTGAGTCCTTGTCTGCAATGATTTTTTAATTGGGCATTAACTACTATTTGACTGTTATTGACTATCTTGTTCCTATGATGGACTAATGAGCCTAGTTTGACTTATACCAGTTAATAGCAGCTTTGACCAGCATGGTTTTGTGTACTTTAACAGTTACCCATGATGTGAAGGGAGAAAGACAGAGCCTGGAATTCCTTTCTGACTGCCCAACATGACATAGACAGCTTGGTGGTGCTCAAGTGATCAGGTTACAGTAATTTGGCCGTTGGGAAAAACACAGTGACAACTGAGGAAAATTTTGATAGACATCCAGCAGCATTTGGAGAAGTGGTGAAGATATTGATGGGTTTGATCATGTTGGAGGAAAGAAACTTGAAATTATGCAGCAGAAGAATGGAAGCAGTACTAGACAGTCCTGGGCCAGATAGCCAGGAATTCTTGGTCTGAATAGAGCTCTTGGTTTGTAGACTTGCTAAAACATACATATTCTGTTAGCTTTAGCAACTTACAGTTTCCTTCTGTGTGGTTTTTAATTTTGCCTGTAACACCATCTAGGGAACAGGCTCAGTCTCTGAAAATGGATGATAAGAAGAGGGTTTTGTTGCTTGGATCTGGCTATGTTTCTGGCCCTGTACTTGAATATCTCACTAGAGATTCCAACATTGAGATCACAGTTGGTAAGTAAAAATTTGTTTATTTTCATTGCAAAATTATCATATTGAAACTTGCTAACGTAGCAGAACCTTTCTCATAAGTAATAAATGGATGTGGTTCTGAGAACAGATAAAGAAAATCTGTGTTATTATGGTCAGCAGTAAATGATTTTGTAGCTCTGTGAGCATTTTGAGTTTATATAATTGATTAAAAAAATGACATAGCTGTGTTAAAAGTTTACTATTTACAAGTGTAACCTCTAGGGAAATTAGAAGTATTTTTCCTTCTAACCTGTTTTGGTCTTGGTTTTATAGCTAGTCAGTCTCTTTTGTTGGTGCTTGGCTGTATTTTCAACCTCACACAATAAGATGAAAATGTTTTTATAGACATCTGTATGAGTGAAGTCTCTGCTGCTGTTATAACCAGTACCATGGTGGCAAACCTTCAGACTGTGACCTTCTTTTCAGCCCCCACATACCTTCTTGTTTATTCCTCTGTTTTGGTTTTATCTGTAGCGTATTTCACAGTGAGCATCTCAGAAACTCTCTTCTGTACCCTTAATGATGACTTTACCCTGATTCTCTGACTTCGGATTTAAAACCCAGGCTGTATTGCCTGAAACATACTATGCTGGGAAGTCGTTTCCCTTAAGAGCTGTATTTCTGTTGATTTTTATTGTTACTTTGGTGTTTTTTTCCCCTTCATGATACTTTCATACTTAGCTGCTTTTCCTACCCTTTGTGGTGATAACCATAGTACTTTTAACCCCTGGAAAAGATTTATTAGGTAGAAGAGGGGAACTCTAAGAATGCTACATCCTCATTATCAGCACTGCCTGAGTTGGTGAACAGGGAAGGATTACAGCAATGTGCAGTGCCCATCCCCTCACCAGTATGAGGCTGCAGCTAATCCCTGCAGTACAGTAGCAGTAAGGGATACCAGGTGAACTGGAAAATCTGTTTTGCCAAGCACAGACCAAACATAGCAGATGCCTCTTATCTGGGTAGTTTAAAAACATGCAGTTTCTACAGCAAGTGCACACAAAATGGTCAGAAGGAAAGAGACACAAAGATATTACTTGTTTAATATTTGACAACAGGCAGCCAAAGAAGGTGCAGAAAGCAAAAATGCACATCACAGTGCCATGTTTGGTTTTCTACTGTTAGGCTACACCACTGGTTGCATTACTATGGATCTCTTTTTCAGTTCTGCTTTCCTTAAACTGGTAAGTGCTGATGGCAGCAGGAGCAAGATATTAGGAAGGAACAAGTGTAGGCAGGCAGAGACTGGATTTATTCCATTTAGTTATAATATCATATGCAGGATTGGTAGGACTAAGCCATAGGTATATTAAAACTAGTCAGATTGAATCTGGACCTTTTGGTCATATTTGACCTAAGCTAAAGCTTAATGTTTTAATCTCTGTTATGTTAAAAATGGTGAATGATGTGAATTGGGCATTCAATTTTTCTGCTGCAATCTTCCTTCAAGGGTCAGGGCAACACAGAATTTCATTCAAGTGGGAAGCAGTGGGCATGCCTTTTTGATATTTCTGAGTGAAAGTCAAACCCAGAACAAAATTTCTGACTGTTTCAATACTATTTAATTATTCTGTTTCACACGAGGTTGTAAATGTGCCAGGAAATGCACTTTTTGGGATAGGCTATTATTTTTCATTTTTCACCCAGTGTTTCTAGTTGTGCAGTGCTTACCTAGCACATTGATGAGCTCATGAATGCTGGTAGTATTTAATACATCTTGGACATGATGCGAGTTCCTGACATTCTAGTTTACTCCTACACCTTGTTCTACCAAACAGACTACTTGATGACTGACTTAAATAAGGGTTGGTATACCTAAAGGCTGATGTCCCTTCAAAATCAAAGCATGAAGGTCAAGTTTGTTATGTGATAAGTAAATAAGGAAAAGAAAAATTGCTGCTTGCTTTCACAGTGGTATATGTGAGATGTTACTGAGTTCTTACTCGGTACTCTAACTTTGGTTCTCTTTCTCCCCTTTTAAAGTTTTTAACTTGTCTGGTCCTTTTGGCTCCCTACTCCTAACGGTTTTTCTATTAAGACTGTATCTAACAAAAAATCTTAAGAAAACTTCTAAGTTAAGAAGCCGCCTAAGTAAGGTTAGTGGTACTTTTGACAGGGCATAGTAGAGCTGCTGTATTCTTCTGTTGATCAACTTTATTTTTGTCAGACCTCTAGTTCAGATGAGCTGCTTCTGTGTTAAGTGTTTACTACAGCTCTTGCCACTTTCTTGAGATCTTTCCTTAAAACTTTCCTTGAGCCTGAACATAAATGTCCAAGTGCCCCTCTTGTTTCACTGTTACTTGCATTCTTTGCCCTCAAACACTTCCTTTAATTGAACTGCTGCTGGATCCAAGGTAACAGTTCATCTCTGAGGATTCCAAAAGAATCTGTTTTTATCCTTCCATCAGTGGTTTGGTCGCTTGTTCTTTGAAATACTTTCAGTGTCTTTTTCAGTATGTTTTGAGACTCACCAATAAGTGGCATGTGTCCACCTGAGATATCAAAGACTGGACCTCCAGTATGTATGACTTTTAAAACCTAGAATATACCTTGCCCAAGGTTTTTATGAGGGTTTGGAGTTAAAGTCATGGGAGTTTGCTTTTGTGGTGGATCATCACCCTGACAAGCCTCTAATACAAGTGTTGGGTTTTTATAACTTTTGTGACAGGTTTCTGGGCAAGAGATGCATTCGTTCAGCAGATGTTTTTCCCTTTTTCTAAAAACCACTTAGGTGTTAATGTGTGCTTCTTTCTGTTACTTTATCTGTTTTCCCACCATGTGGGTGCTCTGTTACCTGGCAAACATAGCCAATGCTTATGTAGAAAACCATACTGGGAGGACATTTGCATGTGATAAAAGTGAGCCAGTGCATTCTGGGATGTCCTACTGCACAAAGATAGGTTTAACAGTCCTTTGTCTCATGTTCTATACCTTCATAGAGTGTCTATTTTTGTGTGAATAATTTGCATTGACTTAGTCTGCTGATGGAAAAACTACAGTTAAAACCTTTTTTTAAGTACTCCCACAAAGTTGCTAATTGCTTGCAAGTCTGTTCTCATTACACAATTTAGCACTGAGTGGTTCTTTACTTCTCAGAGTAAGTGTTTGTAGATTCTTGTTCTTGAGTTGTAGCAGCTATGGCTTGACACTGGCAATTGATAACAAAATTGACTGTTTTATTGGGAATAAGGTGCTTTATGCTTGATTTCAACTGTTAGTGAAAGGAAACACCTATGCAACTGTTTCTCTCTGGGAAGTATAGCACATGGGAGTGCTTTGGGCTTACCTTCATCTTTAGGTAATGATTGATGTGTTTTACTTTTGAAACAGTATCTTTCATGAAGGAGCAACTTGAACAACTCATGAAGAAATACAGCAATGTTACCTCAATTCATATGGATGTCCTTAAGCATGAGGAAAAGCTGTCCTCTTTGGTGAAGAAACACGACCTTGTCATCAGGTCAGAATTCTGCCAAAAACATGATAGGCTCAACACGAAGTCATGCTGCTTCTTTCTCCAAGTTGACTGACATAAATTAACATGGCAGCTTTATTTTTTTAATGGCCAGGAACTGGGGTAATTTTTTTATATGTAAGTAGTTGTAACTGGCCACTGCCTTCTCATGTAGCAGAGCATCAGGACTTTCAAAGGGGTTTTGACTACAGCATCTCTTCACACCAGTTACACAGACTCCCTTCTTAGTGTGAGAGGCCAGTTACATCCACAAGTGTATGTGTCCCTGGGGTGAAATTTGCATGTTCACCAGAGGAGGCAAAATTCTGACATCTGGGTTATTTCTCCCGATCCCACTGAGAAGGATCCCCTTCCAGGTATTGAAGCAGGGAAGGAAATGACTTCATAGTCTTTGCCATTTTGTCTCTTTTGCCATGGATACCATGAGTATTATTTCCGCTCTATGCAGAGCTTGCTTTTTCACAAAGTACTTCAGCAAGATCATTGTAATGCAAGCTTTCTCAAGGGTGGTTTTGCATCTTCTAAACCTCCAGCATGCCTGTTTAGAAGGTGGCTTTGAAAAGAGGTCAGTGGTTTCACAGAGAAGTGTGAGAAAAGGTACTGTCTCAAGAACGACTCCCCTGTTGTTTAGTGCCCTGTTCTGAGTGCATACAACAATGCTGTCCTCATAGGGTAGTGTTTCACTTTTGTAGGTTTGAAACTACTCAAGGGCAAGGCAGGTATGACTGTTGCATTTACTTGAGCTCTTTTCTAGGCAGACGGGAAACATTTGTGTCTTTCCAGTGACAGCATAAGCAACTGGTTGAATTTTGATGGTGCATAATTCTTGTTCATTTGTAGTTTGCTGCCTTACTCAGCACATCCTTTTGTTGCTAAGAGATGCATTGACAACAAAGTGAACTTGGTAACAGCCAGCTACTTAACACCAGCTATGAAAGAACTCCAGGAGAGGTAGGTGTGACAGCAGCATGTCCTTGGTGTTGCTTCCTTCTCTAGTGCATTTTCTGAATATTTTGCTGTCTCTTACATCTGCAGAGCTTATTTTGAATTACTGTTTTCTGCATTCTTTCTCCTTCCATTTCTGTGATGGAGGACTAAGTACCTTTCCCCAAAGGTGCATGTGGAGGCTGCGGCAGAGCGGAGGAATGAGTACATATCCCGATCTGTCAGACTAGTGCTCTAAACACTGGAATGTACTCTTCTGCATGAATCATGTTATTCCATGTTAATATGCCTTTTTCTTTCCCCTTAGACCTGTTAGGATGTTTTATCTGGGCTAATGTTCAAATTTAGCAGCTGGGCTGTCCTGTTCTACCAGTGACAGCGAGCTTGTTTGTCATCCTTTGCCTTCCCTAATAAAACCTCATTCTTGCCCTATTGTATCTACAGTAATACCCTCCTTCATGCCCTTCTTTTCAACAGGCCTCCACTGTATGCGTCTCAAACTGCTGGCAGTTGTAACTATTCTGATATTTCTGTTGTCCTACTTATTATATGCCTGGAAGTTGTTTTGGGCATGAAGCTTCCTCTAGATGCTTCTCTTAGTCACAGTACTGGAAACTCAGAAGTGCATTCAAGTCAGATAAGAATTGTACATGCTGTGTGTTAAAAAAAGATAAAACAGAAGCAGCTAGAGGGGTAGAGAACCAGAGTTACAGGCAGTGAGGGAGATTCTTGCTGAGGTCATAGCATACTCTCAAAAAAAAGGAAAGACATTTCTCATTTGTCAAAACACAGTGATTTTGAAAATAAATCCTTAGTTTGCAGTGATAAGTAACCTCCACTGGGACTGTAGGCAATCTGAAAAAAAAACCAAACCCAAATACTTGTAATTTGGGAAGGTAGACCTTTCATTCTCTCTCCCCTGCAGGAGCTCTGTAGGGCAATTATGACTAGGTCTGTGTTGCCCTCTGCATTACTACCTTCCTGCACTATAGCACTGTCCAGGAGAATATGGGATATGGTAGGAATAGTAGCTGGGAGGAATTTATTTTTCCACAGGCCCTTAGAAGTTGCAGCAAAATAAAATAAATAAAGGTTAGAATAACTCTTAGACAACTGTCACTCTTCAGGTTTTAACATCTGCCTCTGTTTTTTTTCCCCACAAACTGCAGACAGAACCCAGAATGTACTGTGTTTGGGAAGGTTCAGTGGGCCTTTGTTTGACAGATTTACAGGGTAAAAGGCTAGTAATAATGATTATTCTGACAGCTCTGTATTTCTGTTATTTTTAGTGTAGAAGCTGCTGGGATTACAGTTGTCAGTGAAATGGGTTTAGATCCTGGTCTTGACCATATGCTGGCAATGGAATGTATTGACAAGGCAAAAGAAGTTGGTGCTACGGTAAGGTTAGCAGGTAGTGCACAGTTCTGCCAAGATTTTATCAGTAAAGTTTTTTTAACACCACACAGGTTTTGGGCATATCACTGATGTGTAACAGACTCTGGACATTTTACTTTTCCTGATACTTGGAATTTGGTGGCTACTAATCCAATTGGTGAGACCATCAACTAAGATGGCCTTGCCCCAGTGTATATTTTGGTTTCCTCTCCTTTATGGACAGTGCCTGCAGTGGAACAGCTTGACACTGTTGCTCAGTGAAATTGTTTTGTTTTCCCCTCTCCACTGTAGATTCTTATGATTTGGCTGATTTGGGGGCTAACATCAACAGAAATTTTAGAACTAATGAGGATCCTGCGGGGTAGCTCTGTACTGTTTGCATACTGGTCTGTCTTCTCTTCATTGTTTCTTTCCTGTGGATAAATATGACAGGTTATATCCTACACTTCTTTCTGCGGTGGCCTGCCAGCTCCAGAGCACTCTGACAATCCTCTGAGATACAAATTCAGCTGGAGTCCACAAGGAGTGTTGCTGAATACAATTCAGGCTGCTACGTATTTGAAAGATGGAGAGGTGAAGTAATGTGAACATTTTCAATTAAAGGCAGGCAAGGAATGTGGTACTGGGCTAAGGAGGGAATTGGGATTTGTAAGGTGCTGTATTTACTTTCAAACCAGTGGCAGACACTTACCTAAGCCAGTTGCATACCTCACTATGTTTGGAGCATGATGGTGCCTGGCTGCTGCCTTCTTAATTCTTACTTACTATGTGGAAACTGATTGCAAGGATGGAATGTGTTCTAATAACTAAAGCACTGGATCAGAGTTGGTTTTCTGGGTTCAGCTTCCATCCTTGTTGAGTGTTGCTTTTGCCACTTAATTGCCCTGTCTTTGGCCCTGCGAAACAAAGACAAGAATGCATCCTTCTACTTGCTTTTCCATCTAGTTATGTTTGTAAACCAAACAGCTTAATTTTGTACTTGCACAGTGTATAGCAGAACTCTTGATTTCTTTTTCTTTTGATGCAATCTGTAATACTGACAACTCACTGTGTGGGTTTTGTGATCGTATACAGTGCTCTGTTTTGCTGTTTGTGCCGGAGTCGTTAGAGTAGACTTAACCTAGCAAATATCACTGTGTCTATTTAATGGAAAGCTCATAACTGATCTGTGCAAAGCTTTCCAGTGCTTTCCAGTACCATCTGTTTCCAGTGTCACTTGCTCAGAGTAGTTACGAAGCAGGTGCTCTTCAATTGTCAAGGAGACTGCCTTGTATAACCACTGTAAAGTTTAGCTAATTACCTAAACTCTATCTGCAAAACTGAGAATTCTTTTGAGATGTTTTATCGTGGCATTTTGGTGCTGTAGTGTTCTTATTGCAGTAAGAAAAATTCAGGGATTATACACTGTATCATTATTTAAAAAGCAACAACACATAGTTATGTTTCCATTGAAAGGGTTCCTTGGAGAATGTGAAATGATTCTGATTTAATTCTGACCTGCTTCACCCATTACGAGGAAAAATTAGATCATGCATATGAATGATTCATTATGAGAGCACTAGGTGATCTTGTCAGTAAATTCGTCAAGTTTTCCTCCTCGCCGCTAAATACTTATCTGTCTGACCATTGTGTAGGATTCTTTCACATACCTGTCTTGCCTGCAAACACTATAAGATCTTTTGGCATTGATGCAGGCTTCATTGCTTTAGTCTTTCTTGTAGAAATAAACCTTGGCCCTTTGCTCAGAAGTCAGAAAATGAGTTTGTATTGATGCTGCATAGCAGATCTGTGCATTAGCTGCTAGAAGGAAGCAGGGTTCAAGGCTTTGGATGGGAGTGATAATAGAACTAGTCAACCTCTTTTTTGTTTTCCTTCAGTGGTGCATTCTCTCTGTGCTTTGTAGCCTCAAGTAGAGATTCACATGGGCAACAATTTTATATCTGTGTGATATCACCTGATTTATTTTAATACTTCACATACTTCATCTTTTCTGTTCTATAATAAATTAAATATACCTGCACCAAAATAATATTTGCCATTCTTTCACAAAATTTAGATTATCAATATTCCAGCTGGAGGAGCACTACTAGATTCTGTTACCCCCATGGATTTTTTCCCAGGATTAAATCTCGAAGGTTTTCCTAACAGAGACAGTACAAAATATGCTGAGCCATATGGTATTCAGACAGCTCGCACTTTACTGAGAGGCACATTAAGATACAAGGTAAGTTGTTAGTGTTATTAGTAATTATTGTTTTCCTCAAGAGATGAATGCTGTAATTTCAAGAAAACTGTATTTAAAACTCAGCCTTTTATAGCTCTGCACTTGCTATTGATGAGCAGCTCTCCACTATCCCAGTTAAGAGATAACTGAAAGCACTTATCTCATTTTTCTAATGTAGCTTTACTTGCTTCAGTTAACAGGTGTTTGTTGCAAAGCAGAAAAATAGTTTTACTTGTTTTAGGCAGCTGGTCAGTTGGCTTGTATAATCTGTATCTGTGTTTCTTTTCTTGTCTGGCTCCGTATTTGGTGTCAGATCAATAGAAGATTTTATAAACCTTAAATAATTCTGAAGGGTTTGTGTGATGTGTGTTCCTGTTTAGTGTTTTTAAGAATTGATCTATTCTCTTAAAGCTGATGAAAATTTGAACTTAGTTTATTGCTTATATTCCCATGAAAAACATAATGTCTTATAGAAAATTATGATTTTCTATCAAAGTGAGAAAGTTTTTAATTAAATAACTGGAAATCTTGAATTTGAGCAGCTTTGTAATTTTGGTCAGTTAAATAAAACGCCAAGAGATTAGTGTGTGTTCATTCTAACTGACAGACTCTTTTCATTTGTTAGATGCACAAAGATGAATTAAAACATAATATTACAATATTCTTTCAGATTTCTTTTGTAAAATCTTTTTCAGCAGTCAATATACATTTAGAAGAAACCTAAAACCATGTTGAAGGTTTGAAAGAGCTTTTATGGATGTTGTAATATGTCTATTGAGATAAGGCTTATGTCAAGGTTTAAGTTATTGTTGTTTGTCCGTGGCCTGAGGAAAGTGTATGTCCTTTCCCTCTTAATTCCTCTGTTGCAATACAATAGGATTTTTTATTTGTATCTGGGAGAGAGGGAGGCTTTCTTAGCAAAACAAGATGGAAGGCCAAGGTGGGGGAATTAAGGGTTACAAATTGCAATAGCTCTGTTTTTGTCAGTCTAGATACAATCTCTTGTTCAGCAGTTAAAGTATGTGGAAGGCATCTATGCCATCATGAAGTCTTAATATGACAGTATATACTCTTCCATTTGGTGCCTGGTAAAATATTCTTATTTTGAGTAAGTGTTAGCACAAGAAACTGCAAAAATGTCAGGGTGACATGACAAGTGGTTGTAAGTGTGCTACAAGGGTGCTATTTCAGTGGTTAGTGCTGTTTTCTTAACCCCCAAAGCAGGCCAAGCACTTTGGGTTGGGGTGAGATTGGTAGGGTTGTATGGAAGACCTTGCCATACCTCAGCCTGTGTGGTACCTACATGCCAGCACATGGTGCTGAGCAGGGCAGAAGTTAATGTTGGCCCTTTGCACAGTCTGCTGTGCTGCAGAGCAGAAAGCAATCAGTTCAGTGCAGAGGTGATCATCTCCTCAAATTGCCTTTTAGAGATTAAGTTTAGATATCTAATGGAGTTAGTTTAAACACAGGTGTCACAGAAAGATCTCACTGCAAGGCCATCTGAGCATCACCACCTAGTGCTGGTGGAAGTGGCTCCTAATTATACTTAGGCCTCTTTCAGCGTACCTGATTTCCACCATTCTGCTTTTTTACAGTGTTTCTAGTCACTTGCATGTAAATGTTTTTAGGTATCTAGCAGCTGTGTGGGAGTGTTAACAGGATACAAACAAAAGTAAGCAGAAACCAGTTTAAGACTTCTTTAATTATGCAGCCTGTTTCAGCCTTTGCAGTTCCTCTTAAATACCATTCCACTGTTGTCCTGGTTGTCTGTCTGATATTCCTGAAGGAAAGACACAAACGCACAAGATTTTTGTCTCTAAAATCAGTTAATCTGATGTCCATACAATCACACAGGTGTGAAACAGGTGAGCTGAGTTCAGCATTGGGCTCGCTGTATCTCCTAGTTGGTTTATGGGCCAACTGGCTGATACAACCCCACCTGGAATGACATGCTGGAGCTTGAACTAGTGGTGGCCAGCTGAGCCCTTTTATCCCAGGAACTAATGCTGCTTGCCATGGAAGTATTGATGGCAGAATAAGTAATTAAAGAGAGTATTGAAAACTAGGGAAGGGGTGGGGAGGGGCTGGGGAAGGCAGCACTCTGTGGCAGTGACCCCACTGGCATCATGTTATTGTGGCTGACTTCCCATGGGAATAACCCTTAACACTACCATGGTTGTGCCCGTCACTACGTTCAAACCAAGGAGGAATACCTCAGTTTCAAGTGATTATTATTTTTAACCATGTTATTATTTTATTTCAGGGATACTCCAAAACTATGGGAGGCTTTGTAAAATTAGGATTAATTAACCCAGATCCTTATCCTTTGTTAAGCTCAACCACACCACCTCTAACCTGGGTGAGTTACTCTGATTACTCTACCTTGTCTCCTCTGTTTTACTGATGTTTTTCTTATTGCTAGGCTTGGGTGTGCTTACCAATCTTGTGTTGCATCCTGATCTTCTCTGCTTTTTGTTCCTGGAAATTAGGAAG